TGAATGCACTGTCTTCGCTTTATTTATGAAACATATTACAGTCGATGCTAATATGGTGTATTCCGAAACAGAGGTCGTTGCTTTTTGATAGAATTGGAGAATTGCTTTCAAGAAAGATTTTTAATTGCTGATCGCAAAGGACAGACCGAACAACATGATCCTCGCTAGATTCACATCCATCGGTCGAAGCGATCCATAAGATTCTTCATCATGAGACAGGCCTGTTAGGTACTGATCAATACATTTTTTTTTATTTTTCGCTTAAAAATTGTTGTTAGCAGATACATTAGCCATGTACCATTCACCGGATTAAATCGTGCTCCATTCCTGTATGCGCGAAGTTTCCATGGACAACAAAAAAACTAAATAAAAAACCCTCACCAACTACCGCTCCTTCAACGTTCACGCACCCAGAACGAAACTTGGATTTTCCGGAGCAGCCTTTGACTGAGAGCCACTGGCACACTTTTGAAAGTTCACACCACCAAACGTCGTATTCATATATACTGCGAATTCATCGAACCGTCATGAGCAGCGTGCAATTCGAGAAACGTGAGGATCACTTCACTTCAAATGGTAATGCCCACGACGAGAGTGACGTGATTAACGGGTCTCGCAGCGAAGGAGGCTATGAATTCAATATCGAAGCTCCTTCATCTACTCAGGAGCTTAATGATTTGGTGTCTCGCTACCAGCAACTTCTCCAGTTCTCCAGAGACGCTTTCGAAAAGCATCAGGCGTACCAGAAAATTGCCGATCAGCTGCAACTGTTTGCAGACGAAAGTGACGTTGAAAGCTTTGTCGACCCTTACGAAAAGGAAATGAGGAAAATCGAGACCTGTCTCCTGAAGATAAGTGCCCACTACGAAAGTTTTGTCGAAGAGGAGGGTACATTAGAAGATGATATTCTTCGCTCCCTTGAAGAGACCAGTCCGACAGAGAAAATTGATTCAAATTTATTATCCAAGCAGCTTGCGAGTCTTCAATTGCTTCTGAGAAACTTAGACTTGCCGACGCCACTTCAAGTTTCTCTAGATGACACGGCCGATGACACTTCCGATGATACGCTGATTTTAAAACCTTTAATTCAAGGAAAAATCCAGGCTGTTTTCGAGAGGCAACAGGAATCAGATGCTAGTTTCTTGTCAACCTTAAGGTCGCTCGGCTTAGCCCAGTTCCCAACTACTTCCTCTAGTGCTCCCATTGGTGACTACTACAAGGACCAAGTTATTGGGCATAAGATATCCACTCGGTTACATGACTTAGAAAATCTTCCAGGAAACCTCGGAACCATCGATATACAAAGTGGTACGAATTCTGAGACGCTGAACAAGCTTAAAATAAGAGCATTAATCGAGTTGAAAGCCCTTCTGGTAATGGCGATTCAAAAGAGATTGAAAAATGCCATATTCAGGAAGATTTCTTTGACCGCACATTACGATTCCCCTGATCTCAAGAATAACTCATTGATATTGCAGGGGCGAAGAGGCTTTTACATCAGGGAAAAAATGAGCCAGCCTAACCCAGAGCTTTTGGCGCTGCAGTTAGAGAACAAATTTAAGCTTGAAGCTGATGCGAAAAAGCATAAACTCCAAGTTGACAAGATAAACAGAATCTTAGAGAACACGAGGATAGCCAATGAGGTCAAACTCAATCGTGTGAATAAAAAGGCAACATTGACGAGATTCATCAACAATTTCCATAATAATACTGAGAAGGATGAATCGAAGAAAATGGAGAAGACTGCGAAGCAGCGTTTGCAAGCCTTGAAGGCTAATGATGAGGAAGCGTACATCAAGCTTCTTGACCAAACTAAAGATCATAGAATTACACACTTGTTGAAGCAAACGAATAGTTTCTTGGACTCGTTGGCGAAGGCAGTTAAGGTCCAGCAAGCGGAACTGGATGAAATCGTGCAGGAAGAAGAGGATACCGTCGATGAATTGAGGGAGAAGATAGACTATTATCAGGTTGCCCACAGAATTAAGGAGGAGGTCAAGGCCCAGCCTTCTATCTTGGTTGGTGGAGAGTTGAAGGAGTACCAATTGAAAGGACTACAGTGGATGGTGTCTTTGTACAATAACAAGTTGAACGGTATTTTGGCCGATGAGATGGGTCTTGGTAAAACTATTCAGTCGATTTCCCTCATCACGTACTTGATCGAGAAAAAGAATGAGGACAAGTTCTTGGTTATTGTCCCCTTGTCTACAATCACAAATTGGACAGTTGAATTTGAAAAATGGGCTCCATCTGTTAAGGTTATTGTGTTCAAGGGCTCACCGCAACAGCGTAAGGAGCTCCTGTTTGATATCAGGATGGGAAATTTCCAAGTGATGTTAACAACCTATGAGTATATCATCAAAGAAAGGCCCATGTTGTCGCGCTTCAGCTACTCCCACATGATTATCGACGAGGGTCATAGGATGAAGAATGCTCAGTCCAAGTTATCGGTCACTCTCAAGCAATATTATCGTACCAAAAACAGACTTATTTTAACAGGTACACCATTGCAAAACAACTTACCCGAGTTGTGGGCATTGCTTAACTTCGTGCTTCCCAAAATTTTTAACTCGGTCAAATCTTTCGACGAGTGGTTCAACACTCCATTTGCTAACACAGGGTCACAAGAAAAGATCGAGCTTACAGAGGAAGAAAGCTTGTTGGTCATCAGAAGATTGCACAAGGTTTTGAGACCATTTTTGTTGAGACGTTTGAAGAAGGACGTCGAGAAAGATCTTCCAGACAAGGTGGAAAAGGTTTTGAAATGTAATCTTTCGGGTTTGCAGCATATCTTATATCAGCAGATGTTGAAGCACAATGCTCTCTTTGTGGGCTCCCAGACAACCGGCACAAATAACAAGTCGGGAATCAAAGGTTTGAATAACAAAATCATGCAATTGAGGAAAATTTGCAATCATCCATTCGTTTTTGAGGAAGTTGAAGATGTTTTGAATACCACGCGCCTCACAAATGACCTTTTATGGCGGACATCGGGTAAATTCGAACTTTTGGACAGGGTTCTTCCCAAGTTCAAGGCCAGTGGCCATAAGGTGTTGATCTTCTTCCAAATGACCTCTGTTATGAATATTTTTGAAGATTTTTTGCGGCTCAAGGATATGCGTTACTTGCGATTGGATGGTGCTACCAAGGCGGAGGATCGTCAGGATATGTTAAAAGCCTTCAACAAGCCTGAATCAGATTATTTCTGCTTCCTTTTGTCGACGAGAGCTGGCGGTTTGGGGTTGAACTTGCAAAGTGCTGATACTGTCATCATTTTCGATACCGATTGGAACCCGCATCAGGATTTGCAAGCTCAAGACAGAGCACACAGAATCGGTCAGAAGAATGAGGTCAGAATCCTTCGGTTGATTTCAAATGATTCCATCGAAGAAGTGATTCTTGAGCGTGCTCATCAGAAGCTAGAAATTGACGGCAAAGTTATCCAAGCCGGTAAATTCGACAATAAGTCCACCGCAGAAGAGCAAGAAGAATTCTTGAAAAGATTGCTTGATGCTGAACAGGGAGATAAAGAAAATGAGGAGAATGACTCCTTAGATGATGACGAGTTGAACGATATTTTAGCGAGAAGCGAGGACGAAAAAATCTTGTTCACACAGATGGACACCGATCGGATGGTGAGGGAGAAGGTCGAGGCACGCCAAGGTGGCTATAGCAGTCGTTTGATTCCGAAGGATGAGCTTCCTCCGGTTTTCACGGAGGATATCTCCCATCACTTCGAAAGAGACACAAAAGAGTTGTCCCGGATGCGTGAAAAGAAGAAGGTGAAATACGATGACGGTTTAACGGAGGAGCAATGGCTCATGGCGATGGATGATGATAATGATACTGTGGAGGATGCAATTCGTCGTAAGGAAGAGAAGCGTGCTAGGAGGAAAAGAAAAGCTGCTAATGGAGAGCTGGAGGAACCAGGTGATTCAGATGATGGTGACGAAGAGTCTGATGGTGAAGTGCAACGGAAGCGAGCCCGCCGGGAAACCACTTCCCCTGTTGACCCCGACGCTGCACAGAATGGGGACGACGGATTGTCTGCTAGATGTCTTAGCGTGCTTGATCACATTCAGGGTATGCAATCCAACAGGGATGGCCACAACCTTGCAGAAATATTCCTTCGTTTACCATCCAAGAAACTTTACGCTGATTATTACAAGGTCATTAAACGCCCTACCGCGATAAGCCAGATTCGAAAGCACATTTCGCAAGAACGTTACGACTGCTTCGAGGCTTTTACTGACGAGCTCAAACTCATGTGCTCTAATGCTAAGACTTATAATGAAGAGGGTTCATGGGTTTACCAAGACGCCGAAGAGATTGAGGAATATGTGAATAGTTTATAGAAAGGATATTTAGTCTTTCAATCGCATTCAAAATTCCTTGTCCAATTGTCTGCCGTATGACATTAAATATGCATATATGTCGACCAATCAAAACCGTTGCGATTACACCTTACCATAAGGTTCATGAGCCTCACGACACTTGCATACTGATTATTGTGGAGAAGATTTCATGTTGACAAGAGATTGCCCACGCCTCATTAGTTCAGAAAGATACGGCAAGTCAAAGCATTATGAAATTACAATTGACTAGTAGGATTGAATGGGTATCCATTAAAAAGACTTTAGGAGACCTTGCTGTATCGCACCACTCCCCCGCAATAGAAGGCCGTGCATCCTTCAATGATTGTAGGACAATCCTGCTCTTTTTGGTTCTCTCTCCACTTTCGTTCCTCGGATCTGGTATGTGAGGGCAGCTTAAAGCCCAGGGTACGGATTTTACGCCCAATTCAGAGTCAATTATAAAGGAGGGGTGGCTATGTGTGCCGTCTTACCTTACGACCGGCCAGATCTGTCATGTACGCAAACGTGATTTTACTCCAGCCAGAATATATAAAGTAAGCCTCTTTCCTCGTGCCCAATGAGCTAGACGGCAAAAAATAGAAAGCTTTCTATCGAATTTCTTCATATTAAACACACAATCCCGTGATGGCGTCTATCGTATTCCGTTCTTCAGCAGGTTCGAAGAACTCATATTCTAAAATTTTGAGTTATGCTGCCGCCGTTGGAGGTGCTGCTGCCGCTACCGCTGGTGCTTTGTATTTACATCAACAGCATTTTGGTGGTAACAACAACAAACCTCCTCAGAAGAGCAATGGCTTGAAGTTCTTTGCAGCTGCTACCCCAGCTAAGTTGGCTCAAGTTTTTGAAGGAAAGACCGAGAAAGACTTCCAGGAAGTGTATAATGCCATTGCCCAAAAGGTTCAAGATGAGGATGATGCAGACGATGGAGCGGGCAGATATGGTTTGTTGTGCCGTTTGGCGTGGCATAGCTCGGGAACCTATGATAAGAAGAAAAACTCAGGCGGCTCTTATAGTGGGTCAATGATTTACTCCCCAGAGTCCACTGACCCCGAGAACGCTGGTTTAGATGCTGGAAGAGACTTCCTTAATGAATTTCACTATCAATTCCCTTGGCTCAGCAGAGGTGACTTGTGGACTCTTGGTGGCGTTGTTGCTGTGCAAGAAGCTGGTGGTCCAAAAATTAAGTGGAGACCTGGAAGAGTTGACTGCTCCAAAGCAGAGAAGGACAAAATCCCCGAAAATGGTAACTTGCCAGATGCTTCTCAGGAACTGGGTGCTTACGTGAGAAAGATTTTTAACCGTTTGGGATTCGATGACAGAGAGATGGTTGCCCTCATTGGAGCTCACGCATTGGGCAAATGTCACACCTATAGATCTGGATTTGATGGTCCTTGGGGTCCCTCTCCAAACATGTTCACCAATGACTTCTTTGTGAGATTGTTGCAAAAGTGGCATATTCGTGAGTGGGATGGCAAGAGACAGTATCAGGACGACGAGACCAATTCTTTCATGATGTTGCCTACTGACATGGTGCTTAAGGAAGACAGCAAATTCCTCAAGTATGTGAAGCTCTATGCCGCTGATCAGGACCTTTTCTTCGCTGACTTCTCGAAGGCCTTCACCAGATTGCTCGAAAATGGTATTGAGTTCGCCAAAGATACTCCTTACTATGAGTTCAAGACTTTAGAAGAACAAGAGTGAAGATGAAGTTCTCTCGATCTACATGTACTAGACTATCTTTAAAGAATCAAACACAATTGTAGATGAATATAAGCGTCCGAAGATGATTGCCTAAAGAGCTAGATAATTTGAACGCGACGCAAGCAGGAAACAGATTTCGATTTCAATATTGTGTCTCAGTCAGCACTGCCGTACGATTCAACATTCATTTTGAATCAAAATGTGTCTCACCAGCTATACTGCCAATTCCATAGACTGAAACCATGTCTACCTAAGGTTGAAGAAATTGGTTTAAGTATTTCAAAATGTAACTCTCATGATGTCTACTTATGTGTGAAGCGGTAGCGAAAAAAAGCCGTCACATTCGCAGCCCTCAGATGCTCACCTGCAAACCCTACCCGCGTAAATTATATACTACGTCCAACAGTTCAGGGTGTGTATATTGTTGTAGTTCCTGTAACTACAAAATTTTTTTCTCAATTTTCAGCTACAACTCACTACTCACATATCAATAGTATAGCATGAAGTTCATTCAGTCTGAGCAGATCTTGGAGATCCCTGAGGGTGTTACTGTCAACATCAAGGCCAGAACCATCAAGGTTACTGGTCCAAGAGGTGAGTTGACCAAGGACTTGAAGCACATCGATGTCACTTTCGAGAAGTTGTCTGACAAGGCTATCAAGATCATTGTTCTTCACGGTGACAGAAAGCACGTCGCTGCTTTGAGAACTGTCAAGTCTTTGATCTCTAACTTGGTGACCGGTGTTACCAAGGGTTACAAGTACAAGATGAGATACGTCTACGCCCATTTCCCTATCAACGTTAACACCGTTGAGATTGACGGTCAGAAGTACGTCGAGATCAGAAACTTCTTGGGTGAGAAGAAGGTCAGACACGTCAAGATCTTTGATGGTGTCACCATGGAGCAGTCTACCACCCAGAAGGATGAGTTGATCATTTCTGGTAACTCTTTGGAGGCTGTTTCCCAGAATGCTGCTGACATCAACCAGATCTGCAGAGTTAGAAACAAGGATATCCGTAAGTTCTTGGATGGTATCTACGTTTCTGAGCGTGGATTGATCGATGACAACTAATTGAAAGATATGCTTTACTGCTCATCGGTTATTGTTAATACACTATCTTCCAAACACTACGGGACAAACTTTTTATAGTTCGAAATACGGCTTTACGGTTTACCCCCTGGTCTCCTGTGAATACATTACAGAGCTCAATATTCAATACAGAGCCACCAATGATTCACTGTAGGAATGAGACTCAGGGCTGTTGTTATAAGTGACGAGGTTTCTTTGGTTTTCTCATCATCTTATTATTTGTCAACGGCTTTGAGTCCTAATTTTCTCTCGTTTTGCTTGTTAACACCTGGTGAAGAAGGGTAGGCGCTCTTCTTGATTAGGCGTTATTGAGCAGAGAGCGAAAGAGCACGTAGCTTTGCACATAGCGATCGTAAATAGTCGTTAGGTGCGCCCGCTAAATTCACATTGTATCACTTATCAAGTAATAACCAGAAATGAAGGTTGCGTTCTTGGGCCCCGAAGGAACGTATACACATGAGGTATGTATGAGATGCTCAGTTATGCTATTGTATCGAATACTAACTAATTAGGCTGTGATTCAACAATTTGGGCATTCCCCAGACTTATCGATATTCCCTCAAAGCTCAATTGGTGATTGTTTCAACACACTCAATGCCGGCAATGTCGACTTCGCTGTTATTCCATTCGAAAACTCTACAAACGGACAAGTGGTCTTTACATATGACCTTCTTAGAGACTGGTTCATTGGCGATAATGAAAAGTCGAGACCAACTTTTCAAGTTGTGGGAGAACAGTTTGTGGCGATACATCACTACTTATTATCCAATGCCACCGAAAAGTCTCAAATAAACACGATCTATTCGCATCCGCAGGTGTGGGGTCAGGTTTCAAAGCTGTTGAAACCATACGCAAAATGTACAAAAGTCGATGTAAGTTCTACTGCTGAGGCTGCCCGAATTGTGAGTCAAGACTCCACAAACACAGTGGCTTGTATCAGTTCCAAAATGTGTGCTCAGCTTACAAACTTACCGATAATAGAGGCTGAAATTGAGGATATCCCAGACAATACAACCAGATTCTTAGTTTTGGGTAACAAGCCTGCTTTTCCACAGCCAAAGCAAGGAATAGCAGAGACGAAAGAGACGATCCCACTTACTGCTATCACGTCGATAATGTTCACGCTCAATCATGATGATCCTGGTGCCTTGATGACAGCTCTTGATTCCTTCAAACAACAGAATATCAACTTGACTTCTATTGCATCAAGACCATCAGGGAAAAGTAAGTGGCAATATGTGTTTTTTGTGGAAGCAGAAGGAAGCATTGATAGCCTTCGTATGAGGGAGGCAGAGGAAGGTCTTCACCGATGTTGTAGTGATGTGGTGATACTTGGATCGTTCGCTCGTTCACAACTCTACAAGGCTGGTCAAGTTAAACATTAAAATATTATTTATTGCAAAAATACCAACAAGTATCTACGAGCCGAACTTCTGGTAAGTCCAGTCCTTGTTATCCAAAGGACACACGGCTCTCAGTTTAAGCCATCTTTGAATACAATGCATATGAAAAGCATGATTACAGACACCCCACGCTGCGATACAGTTATCAGCAGAGTTGTTGATGCTGTTCGGTTGGCATTCGATGCATGGCTCCATAAGATGATTTCGACAAATGGCGCATGTCTCGACAACTATATCCCATGACCAAAAAGCAACAGCAGTCCACTTTTTGACTTCAAATCTCTGCTTCCTTTTAGGCTCTTCGTCCCTCTCATGCTGTGTGCTATGCGAATGATTCCCCTGGTGGTCATGATTGTGGATCTCGCTCAGTTGTTGTTTAGTACCTTCAGGGAGGATTTCGGTCCCGCCGGCTTCCTCCACTAGCGGTTGGCTGTCAACATCGATTCTATCTTCCCCGTTCATTTTTTGAGAGTATGCTTTTGTGATAACGCGAAGCTAGTAACTGTGTTTCCAGTTGACTTAGTAAGTTGATGGTTATGGACTGTACAGAAGTATCGCCTTCTCAGGTACTTGCCTGGCTTTGATCACAACGAACATAGCAGCACTATTTGATTGATTAATATTATCGAGCTGTTTTTGATTACATAAAATAACCCATATACCTTGTTGCTACATTGTGCTTAACACCAGTTCCAGATGTCAGAAGAGCTCATTTCGTCGCTATATCCACTGCCTCCACCCTACTACAAGTATTTCACAGAGTCTAATAGATCAAAATACCAGCAATGGCTCGAACAAGAATCTGACGGAGATGCTATTCCACCTGGTGACCTACGATTCCATCGCCCCCCTTCAGCGCCGACTGGTGAACAGTACCGAGGATACGGAAGTGTGTGGGCATTGGTGAACAAGCTACCTTCTCTCAAGGAGCTGGGGTGGAAGCAATTATACAACGATGAAGACGAAAAAATCACTTCGCAGACTAAAATTGATGAGCTTCACAAGCTCCTAGACTCGTTACTATTGAACTTCTTGGAGCTTGTGGGCTCTGTCTCCAAGGAACCAGCAAAATTCTATGTCAAGATCGAGGACTTGAAGCTTCTTTTGATCAACATGAATCATTTGCTCAATACTTATCGTCCCCACCAAACTCGTGAAAGCTTGATAATGCTTTTGAAAAAGCAGATCGAAAAGAAGAGAAATGACATGAGCGAGATCGATGAAGCAATGGATGGTGTTAAGAAGCGCATAAATCTGCTTGTCTCGTCTGCTGATGAGATATCAACAAGTCTGCCTACCATTGAAGCGGATGAAAAAAGTTCATCAGCCATTACTGAGCAGAATATTGTGAAAACACTACAATCTCTCGTTGATGAATCTTGATACCATGACTATGCTAAGGTGTCGTTACGGATTCCCTTCGCGCTAAAATAGGTCCAAAAGATCAGCGTTTGTACTGGTGTTTTTGGTTTTCTGGGTAGTTCCGCTTCCAAGGTTGCTCGAACCACTTGAATTGAGGTTCAAGTCTCCTATTTTATTGATCCCATCGTCCTCGTGCTGTGAGGACGGGTTTCCAAAAAGGCTCAATATATCGTTTGTGGAACTCTTAACTTGAGATCCATCCGAGTGATTGTTCAAGTCAGTATTATTGGCTGGCACGCTGAACAAATCATTGAGCTCATCTAATAACGAGTTTGCACCCTCAGGGTTAGATGAAGGAGCCTGGTCGTCATCATCAAGGTCAAGCAAATTCTCGTTACGGGCGTTGTTGATGATTTCTTGCTTAGCCTTAGTGGTTAAGTCGGACAAGTCAGATTTTCTTCCCAGCCTTTTGTTTGATTGTTGGTTTTCATGCGTAGCATATGCTTGCGGATCAATAAACGTTGACGCAGGTTTGTGATATACCGATGAAAGCGTAGATAACTCTTGGATCAAAGCATCTAAAACAATAGGGTTGAACGAGGAAATCGTTGTTTTGATGGGTGGAAGTTTGGAAGCAATGATTTGCTGCTGCGCTTCGCTAGATGAAGTGGAAAGAAGACGCCAATAAATGTACGCCTTATCCCTGACGTCTGCGTTCTCACAATCTTTAGTAGCATTTTCAAGAACAGTTTGGAGTAGCTGTGAACAACCCGCAGATGGAAGTACCAAGTTAATTTTTACAACTGATGTCAAGATGTTGAGCTGAAGAAGTGACTCATGCTCAAGGAAGCCGTCGACGAGATCCTGTAACTTGGATTTGAGATTTGTGAAGTATTTTGGATATTCTCCAAGCAACCAAACATAGCCTGCAAGAGCTTGAGGGTCAGTGAGCTCATCTATATGATTTGAGATAACAGGAACAATCAAAGTAATCAAATCATTTTTTCCTGGGTAGCGTCTTAAGATTTGTGTTAAGACTCCAACAGCTTCATTTATCACCAACTCGCCTCCTCTCTGCTCCATCAAGGAAATCAAGAGGTTTGAAGCTTGAATAACGCTCGAGGAAAGCTTGATAGCAACCGCGCCTATTGCCTGAATAGATTTTGCAACAAGAGCTGGTTCGATTTCCATCGCATACTCTTTGAGTTCACTCAAGAGAAGAGCGCTGTTGGAATCGTTTGCCAATCTAATGACAATCTCTAGTTTTTCTAGCTTCAAATATAATGGGTCCGAGTATTTTATGAAAAAGACTCTCACCTCTTTCGTGAGCACTTGAGGATATTTTTCCAAGATAATTCTGATATTCTTCAACCCCACATATTGAGCCTCTGGAATGGACAGGGATACCAAGGAAACCAATGGAGCGGAGAGCTTCCTCAAGAAGCTGGTTTTAGTCGCTTGGTTTGGCAAATTGTCTAAGTGATGAATAACAACTTTTATAGAAGAAAGAACGACTGAGGGGTTAACATGTTGCAATTGCGGGATACACCTTTCGATAATATGAAGGGTTTCCTCTTGGTCATCGGTCGAGTATTCCGCCAAACATCCTAAGATTGTGATTCTACCCCACTCAGTGCATTCGTTCAAACAAGCCATCAATGTTTTTATGAGCTGATGGTCGATCACCAAAACCTCCAATGAACTATCTTTGTTCATATCTCTAATTTCATACAACGCACTCAAAGCATTTGCCACCACCATGGGGTTTGAGTCCATCAAGAGCTTCTTAAGGTCGTCCAAAAATCCAAATTCAACGCACATTTCGGAATTGAGGTCGAAAAGTTTAGCAACACAGATGGCGGCTGTCTTTCGCACATATGGGTTATCATCCAGTAAGGTTCTTCTCAATGGAATTTCCATATAGTCAACCATTTTATCCACACGAATGCAACCCATTGTACGGATAGCAAGAGCCCTCACGAGTGGATTGGTGTCCTCGGTATCTTGAACAAACGTGTTCACAGCCAAGATACATAATTCGGGGTGTGTTTTAGCGTAATTCATCATGTACAAGTAAACAAGCTTCTTTTGCTCGAGGTCATAAGTTGCAATATTCTTGAGGACATCCGGGAAGAGGGATGAAACATCCTTTCCAACCGTCATGGCCTGAATCACGCGCTGGATGGCGTCCTTTCTTTCATGTTTGTATTGTGAAACAAGGCCGGCCTTTAGCTCGAAGGTTTCACCCTTCTTTGGCCCTTTCAAAAAATTCAAGATTTTCTTTTCCAAGGACATGGGTGATCGAACGAAGCCACGGATGCTGTATGGTTGACCTGGTTGTTTGAAGTTTTGAGGCATAGTTGTGCACGTGCGGTGACTCACGTGCGCGTTTTTCAGCTACTCCTACGCCGTGGCTCTAGACACCTCTCCAGCACCAGATATCATTCTGCATGTATGGTTTTGTTCGTCTTTCATTTCACCCTAGCATCAATTCTATTGATCTCACAAATGTTATTAGGTTAGATGCCTTCAAAAGTTTATGCAAGGAAATTGAGAACGGCCAAGAGGTTTAGAGGCGAGTTGACTGGACTGTTAAAGTAAGGAAGTCAACTTATCTCTCTCGTGCAGATTTGTCTTGGAGTCCCCATGGCTGAACCGAGCTTCAGTCGGCACACGAACAAAAGAATTGATAAGATTTGATGCATTGAAAATAGGCTATCAAGGTCTAGGTGCATGCAAGGACTACCAATCGTCGGCAAAACTGGGAACTCGCGCCGTTTATCTCGCCTGATATAGCATGAAGGAGCTTAGGAGCGCAATGTAAATTGCAGAGTGTGGTTGCGCAGCCAGTTAAGCTTTGATGCAGAAAGTGCTATTTTTTTAGAAACTAAGACAAATCTGCTTGAGGGATTAGTATACGGCCGGGGAACCGATAAGCTAATTTGATGGGACGCATGCAATGCTAGCATGAGGACAGAGATCCTGAGTGAAGTACCACACATTCACCGCTGTAAGCAAGCACTAGAAGGCAGAATACTTACACGGTCAACACTTACATCAACCAGCTTATGATAGAACTACGAAGCAATTAGTAATGGCAGCCCAAGAATTCTAGTACAGCAGAGCACACAATGGACGGTGTTGGTGCTTGTGCATCTATGCTGATCGAAAGAGGCAGGAAGTTCTCAACCCCAACGTATCCCCTAAAGGATCCTCGTTCTCGTAAATTCGTTCCGAGAGGCAAGTGACTGTCAGGACAATTGGGGGTGAATGTGTCTTTGACAAACAATGGGTTATGAGAGGTGTAGTTTCGCGGTAAAAGACCATGTTTACTGTGTATTATCCTGTTGCCTGACCCTCCCGAGAGTTTCCACAAACCTCTAACCTGCATGCATTTAGCCGCATAGCTCTGTGCGTCTGGCAAAGTATTTTGCTTTCCGGAGCACCCGAGGAAGACTCTGTTTGTGGCTTGTCTTACCTGATATATATATCCGTAATGTCCCGATTGACCTCTGCTCTCTGACACGCGCTCATAAACCAACTTCCCAACTCCCTCTATCGCTCAGGAACCCCAGACGCTTCAAAAAGCCACTGCATTATGAAGGTTAAGGTTGCAAAAACTAATAACGTGCTTTTCAGGGCCTACAATGCCTACCGCAACTACACCCCAATTCATGTTTTGACGGCAAATGAGACAATAATATTCAATTCTATCGTGTTTGCTCTAGTAGCCGGTCTTCTATACTGGGCAGTGTTTGTCGTTCCCTCATGGCTTGTCTTTCTTGGAGAGAGGGCAATCTACTATCTCACGGGCCAAACAATATCCATCTCGTTGGTCTTCTCGTTTATTGTTAGACAATTATTATTCAGCCCCAAGCAATCAGCTCTACGCTCCAATCTGTCCAACAATATGCCTGCGGACTTTTACCGTAAGAAGTGATGAGAAGTCATCGAATCACTAAGCCCCATTAATGCCTTCACGTCGAATGACAACTAATATAATTCAACTGAATAGATTCCAATCTTGAACTTTGAAAGTAGAAACCCAGTGTTTGAGCTGCTGGAAGCAGCGGCCGAGCTCTCCATCGCCACTAGTCACTTCCAGCAACTGTGCATGAAGCTGCTCTGCTGTGACATCGCCGCACTTCAATGGGATATTGAAGGTGAAAACACAATCACTCTCTGCCTTCTCTAACCTCAATAACGCAATTAGCACAAATAATTTGGTCTCATCTGTCTCCTGCTTGGATGGAGAGGGCTTCACAAGGAAGAAGTGTGCATCAAAGTCCTCTGCGGTCCTGGAACTTTCGAGGGGAGCTAGAAATATTGGAGGTCCGTCGATAATATCCTCTAGATGTATGGCGATAATTTCGGGGAGGCTGTTGGCTTTCACCATCTCCAACAAGTCAATGATGACGGAGCGATCAAGCCCATCTGGTCTTTCTAGTATAAAGACTTCTTGAGTGTCAGGGACTTCCCTAAAATCAGAGACATCAACCGCAACTTCTGGTAAGTCAGAACTTATGGCTCCTCCGTAAAGTTTCGTCATAATTGAAAAGAAGACTGACTATGGTTGGTGTGCTTAGCAGATGGCCTGCACGTGCATTTACACAGGTGACTAAATCTTTTGGTTTTGACCGTTAGTTATTGGAAAAATTTGTAGAGATGTTAGAGGCACGAAGGTTCTCGAAATAGTTCATGAAAATACTTGGTTCTACCTTAAAAACCTTTTTTAAAAATTTTCGACCAAAGCGTTAAGCAGCTCTTATTCTAGTGTTTGGCTTGTATGCCAGAATTCACGATATTGGTGGGTAGCCAGAATTTGCTTCGAAAGACGTAGATCGAGCCAGTGAAATGATATAAATTGTTCAAACTGATCTTATTTTTAGCTCACTTCACTCCCTTTTCCCCTCTACAGACCGAAAGCCCTTTTTGTCAACCCGTTCTGGAGGTTCTTTTTTAAGCTTCGCGCTTGATCCTAACCAAAATACTCTTCTATAACAACTCAACCAAGGTGCTTC